AACGGAGAGTCTCCAGACTGATCTGCGAGTGAAACCTTGAAAGCTCGCAAGATCAGGATGGTCTCACGAGGCTATGTCTGCTCAGCCTTTTACCAGAAACTTCTGTCATCACCTGCATCTGCCTGCCTACTATTTCAGTCCATCAACATTAGAGATAAGAAAAAATATATTTTTAAATATAACACTGTGGCTGATTATTGGGCTACCAGAAACATTTGATTATAAGAGCTGCTTTTTAAGAATAGCTTCATGAAAGGAAACCCATATAGAGATAAATCTAACTTAAAAATAGCAAAGCCCCTTTTATGTACAACGTGAAATCATGTTGATTTTAATTAAAATACGGTTATTTATATGGGTTGTGTCCATTAAAAAAGCAAGAACAGGACATCTACAGATGCAGTAACAACCATGGGAATATAAAGAGACTTTACGGCATTCATTTCCAGGAAGCACCTGCACAACAAAAGGAAAAATATATAAACAGAAATTTCCTAATTTCTGTGCAAGGCTTGGTTTATTCAACTCATTGGCTAATGATTTATGTTTTTTCACATATTTTAGAAGGAATGCTAAATGAATGTTTGCCTTTCGTTTTACCTTTACAGTATATCCTTACTTTTATTCCATGCCACAAATCAACTCAACAAGCAGCCAAACAATGAAATCCCTCACAGACCACCCAAAGCTAAAGCCGTCCAATTTCTCTACACAAATCCAACCGAGCTTCACCTTAAATCCTCATCATGTCCTGAAACAAAGCTACAGCGACTCTAAGTTTGCTGACATTGCTAAAATATCACCAATGAAAGTGGCGGCTTACTTCAAACACCAGAGTCTCGTTAGTGGGGCCAGCGGCGTAAAGGCTCTCCGGCTTGTTGAAAGAACGCTGATAATTGAAGACAGTCCCACCAAAATAGAACCTCCCTGGCCAATCCACAGTCCAATCCCTGGTCAGGTAGTACTTTTTCTTCAGGGAACGGACAGCCAGGTAGCTGGTGGACACCTCCATTTCCTGGACATGGATGCTCCTTGCTCCAGCTGGCACTGTCACCATAGAGTAATACTCTGGGAAAGGATGTCAGGAAAAGAGTCACCTGTAAAAATGTGTTTACTAGCGGCTCTGTAAGTCCTACTTTTTACTTAACCAGAATAATAATATTCTTTATATGCATTTAATCTTTTGTTGCTCATTATCTGCTGAAATGCAAGGCTTTCTCACTTATATATTAAGCTAAACTGCACAAACTAAGTGGAACTTACCATTAGCCCGGTGCTGAAGTGTGTACTGGCCCTTTAAAAACTTGCAAGTGGAGTTGTCTCCTTTACAGACCCCACAGGCATCAAGGGAGGCCTTGGAACCCAATATGCCATCACAACCCACAGCCTGAAAAGAGTAATATGTTTTGTTTTACAGGTATTATGTCGAGCATACAATACAGCAGACCTTAAAAGTGTTGACAAAGCTTCTTAAATCCAATCCTGTGAACTTTACAATAAAAAAACAACAGTTTGGAAAAAAAGGTACTAAAACCCGGTTGTAAATCAGTCACTCATTTACTTTAGACCAAATTTTAGGACTCAGCCTCCCAGAGTAGGAGCTTGTCAACATTCCACATCTTAATGTTGGAACATCTGATCTCTCTGTTTTCCTGAATAATGCCAAGTCACTCAGGATGGGAAGAAATGTTTTGTGCACAGCCCACTTAAAGTTAGATTTAAAGGAATAGTACACCCAAAACATGATTAGCCTTCATTTTCTACTCACCCCCA